TAGAAGTACTCTTGATTTGGGAGCACTCCTAACCACATTAGTAATTAGAAAGGTCCATACCCAAACTCATAACCAAATTCAGCCCAAATAACCCTTATACACATGACTACTTAAATATAGTCATATATTTAAGTAGGTAACCCAACCTTTTATATCGGTTTATATGGATTCAACCCGTGCATAGAAACATAACCTTTTATATCAGTTCAAATTCAGCCCAAACTCATACCCACAACCTTTTATATCAGTTTATATGGATTCAACCTGTGCATAGAAACATAAGAGCCAAATTCATTAGGTAAACCAACTTCTTATATGGATTCAACCCTAAATGGTCTTTTGCTCTCAACTTTTTAGCCCAAAATATTTAAATACTGCTCATAGAAAAAGGACCTCTTCCCTATTTATTATTGTTACTGTTTATTGAATTAAAAAACCTACAACTACAAAACAAACAAGTATAGTAGCAGGTAGTCAATAAATAATAACAGGAATAAATAGGACTACTAACAAGCAAATAACATCTAAAAGGTAAATTAATTAAACAACTAAAGAAATGTAGCCTGCTCTCTTGGTTAGTGGTTCTATAATTAATAAAAAAATATCAATAGTAATTGTAGAAATTAAAGTGAAGTTGAAAGTAAATAAACTCAAGTGCAAATGACGGGTGCACCTGGTGGTTTGTGCCTTAATAGTTGAAGACATAAGACCAGCCACTAACAAGTAGCAAAGAAATGGACGTGCTACACAAAGATAGCTGAGAAGTAGATCAACTATCAAATTTACAATCAACTTGAGATATAAGCACTGATTAGGTGTTTTCGAAATCTAAAGGACAAATCTAACTTCAAAACTATAAAGGCTGCTAATATGCAAATAAGCAATGTAAATAAACAATTGAATAATAAGTGTAAAGGAGTTGATAAAGTTATTGCATTTAGTAGGTTTAGTAATATTAGAACTCAAACTGCATTAGTTGATCTTGTATCTTACAAATGTAAAAGAAAAAATAAAAAATAAAGTGCAAATCTACCAGATCTCAAGATATCAAGTATTGCAATTATGAGAAAGTTAGCACAAAGAAAAATAAACTTCAAACTTAAAAAGAAAATGAAAGTACAGGGTACAAGAGATTTTTATAGAGGTTTGGCCAATACTATCTATGTATTCTACCTTAGACCACCATTGAAGATTTCCACTAACCAACTTAACTTCCTGAGTGCTAGATAAGCCTTTATAAAAGCAAGACTTCACGGGTGCTTACAATACCTTGCAGTTAGGCTTAGCAAAGGTACCAATAAGACCTTCAATGGTGTTCAACAAGGTCAACACCTACCTGTTCAAAATAACTTCACTAATACAACATAGGGTCATGTTTATAGCAAGAGTAGCCTCAAATACAACTCAAACTAAACTCAATTGATAGAGTTTCTCATAGATGCTCAACTTAGGGAACAAGATCCCAACAATTGAGTGAAAATAAGATGAAAGGTTTCTCAAATAAAGCTCACCTCTAAAGTTGATGAAGCTCAAAGATCTCTTCTTTCTCCTAAAAGAAAAAAACAACTATATACAATATATAGAGAATATGTATAGGCTATTGTTCATAAGCTTTGGTTCATAACTTGAGTCTTATTTTCCTTGTTTTTTGAATTAAGCAAATACCTCTATTTATAGAGGATTTGAAAACAAATGATTATTTTCTAGTTGTTTGAGGGATTTTACCTTCTTTGGAAATAATTCAAATTTCCTCTAATATGTTAGAAGGCTTTCCAATAATAATATTAGCCGTTGGAACCTTTGAACGGTAAAAATTTCTTCAAAGTAGGTGATTATACATTTTGATAGTCGACTACAATATGAAGGGAGAAATCTCTTTTCTCTCCTAGTTGACTTGTTCCTCCTTATTAGTTAACTGGTAAGCCTTTAACTCTTATCTCTTAATACCTTTAAGAAGCATTAAAAACGTTCCGTTCTCATTTTATGTTTAGCCTTAATATATTGTACATCTTTAGCTTTAATGCTATGATGATCCTATACAACAACAACAACAACAACAACAACAATAATAATAATAATAATAATAATAATAATAATAATAATAATAATAATAATAATAATAATAATAAAACAAAAATTAGATATTAATAATGAATTAGCTTTTAAAAATTATTATTTAAATATTTAATGCTAATTAATTAATGATCTAATTACATATTATTTATGAAGTAATATTTACAAATTATTATTATATTAATTATGTATGTATTATTTAATTACATATTTTGTTTTCCAAATGATACCCAAGTAGTTTCTTTTCCTTTTACATTAAAACTATAAATTATTATTTTAATTCACAATAATAATTAATAATAGTAGTAATAATAATAAGGTAATATTTAGAAATTATTATTATTATTATTAATTTTTTAGTCACATATTTAAGTATTTTATTATTTTTTCAATTATTTAATTAATTAAATATTAAATAATTTAAGACTATGTATTTTCAATATATTAATTACTTGTTAAATTATCAATTCATTAAAAATAATTATGTAATTAATTAATGATTAATTAGTTATAGAAATAACTATTATTTATTATTAATTAATCATTAATTACTATTTTCATTAATAATATTAGTTATTAATTTTATTAATAATTAGTTATTATTATTGTTATTATCATTAAAATTATTTTAAATCCATTTAATTAATTGGTAAATAGGTTTGTTAAAAGTCAAACAAACTTTCTAATATTTAGGGTTAAAATAATCAATTGCCATTTTTAGAACTCAACATTCAAATTTCAAAAAAAAAAAACATTCTTTACATTTAGACTTTAAAACCAAGAAAAGTTCACTAACTGCCATACACCTCTTAAAATAATTATTACAAATTTCGAGGGCATTTAGATTTCAGAGCAAACACACATGTCTTTATAATTATGAAGGCAGTGCTCGGGAGTGTGGTGAAACGACGATATATTAGGTTTCAAACCATGCCACACCTCATTCAAGTGTTCAATTATGGTGTAGCATGGCCCTAAACGCAATATATCGTAGTGTGGTTTACACTTTACACCACATCCTAAATATCAACCATAGCATTTTATCGTGGTTGTAACCACACAACTAGGTACTATAGCCCAAGTTGGTTATGGTGCTTTGTAGGCTTGTATTTACTTTTAATTTTTTTGATCAATATTAGATTTTTTAGTTTTTTACTTTTAATTGTATTACTATTAAGTTTTGTCACATGTTAAATTCATTCATATTATTGATTTGCATTTTGTTTAAAATGCTGAAATAATATTACTCTTGATCCATGGTGTAGATCACCTCATATTGTGTATATGAGATACACAGAATAACCTTGAACCATACCCCACTTTATAGAATGCCTATGTAGGACCATAGAATAGAATAGCTATCCTGCTATTGTGTGGTGCCACAAAACACCCTCAAAATGGTAACGATGGGCAAAGTGCTAGTATTTAAAAGTTTAGGGTGATTTTTGTTACAAATGAAAGTTTCGGAAACTACCCCAAAGTACAGGGAGCAATTTGTAATTTATCCTAGTTTATTTTGTTGTAACGTGAGGAACAACAAATTCGATATGACACACGTGGACACTAGGAAGTAGGGGTGGCCACAAGCCGAGCTTTTTACGAGCTATTTGAGCTCAGCTTGTGAAAAGCTCAGCTCGACTCAGTTTAAACTGAGCTCAAGCTTGATATATAGTCTCGTTTGCTAATCGAGCCAAGTTCGAGCCCAATGAAGCTTGGCTCATGAGGCTCGCAAGCCTAGTATAATGCGTGATCTGGCAGCTCCCCTATTGGCTGATGATTTTGAAGCAGATTTGGATGGTTCCCTTGTCTAGGTCGAGCTGGAGATGTCCAAGCTATATAATAGAGAACTGTGTAATATTCTAAGAGACTTGCAGGGAAATAATATTAGCCGAGCTGTGTTGGATCGAGTTGGAGATGGCCGAGCTGTTTTGTTCTGCAAGAGAGACAATGTTAGAGTGTCCGGGTGTCTTTACCTGGGGAGGGCACTCTGATGCTTAAGCCAAATAGTGTTTTGAAAGTATTTTAGAAAGTGAGAGAGCTTGAGAACTTGTAATCGCACATACATTCTCTCAGGAAATAAGTGCCTTTTATAGGCCCCAATGCTCAGGGTCTCATTGGGAATAGGCCTGAGCTCTTTGAGGAGCTGTTTCTTTCTTTTCTAGTGCGTTAATTTGTCAGTTGAGAGATCCTCGTGGGGGTTATGATTGGTCTAAGTAAAGTCGAGGCGCACAACATGGTGAGCCATTCTAATGGTCGCGCTATCGACGCCTTCGGTATCAAACTGCTGGGGACGGTTAGCGAGCTCTTCCTCACAGGTCACCTTAGGTCCTCTCAGCTTGGCTAGCTCCTAGAACAGGTCATCGTACTCTTACGGGGTCTACTAGCACGGCCTTGCCGAGGTGGAGGTCGGCCTGAGCGAGGTGCTCCAAGATAACTTACCAAGTTGGTACGTTGATTCAACACCGCGGTGTCATCTAGAAGTCATGTGTGGCTGTACAATTGGGAGGACCAAGTTACCCCTCATCACATACATACATACATAAATACATATATAATTAATTTTTATATATAATAATATTTTATTTAACATTTTTATTTTCTATGTATAATAGTAAATACTTTTTATAATTCTTATTTTTTTGTGTAAAATAAAAAAATTATATATATATATATAATAAATAACTTTTATAATGCTTAATTTTAATTTTTTGTATATAAAATAAAAAGTATTTTTATATGTACAATTTTTATTTAAAAAAAAAAAACTTGACTTACGGTCGAGCCAAACTCAAACTTACGAACTTTGAACCCAGCCGAGCTCGATGGAGCCTAACACAATTTCAGCGAGCCGAGCTCGAATAGCCAAGTATTCGACTCGGCTCGGCTCGAATCCACCCTTCCGTAGTATCTCCAGTCAACACCCTGGTTTCGCTCAAACCCTAACTGTTCTCTCTTTTCACCGTATTTCCTCTGCAACTCCATCTCCATCCGTTTCCCCTTGTATCTCCAGTCCCTCTTTCCTTCTTTTCAGCAGTCATGGGTAAAGTTTTATTCTGCTTTTCTGCCACAATTCTTCATCATTTACTCAATTCGCAGCCTTTTTCCAGCTTCGACCCGCATTTTCAACTCCAATTTTCATTTGATTTCATCTTGCAGGTTCCGGAAAGATTAAGGTTGGAATCAATGGTAATTGACGACGCTTTCCTTCATTCCCTCTCTCTCTCTCTGTCTGAATTACTGGGAGTTTATTCGTTTGAACTAAAATAAGATGGAAGAGAATTGCAGGCTTTGGACAGTTTTCGCGATTGCTTGCGAGGGCCGCACCTCATAGGAACAATGCTGAACTTGTCGCTACTAATGAGTCCGTCGTTGCTACTGATTACGTGGTAACCCCCTCCATCCATATCATTCCGGTCTATGTACTATCTATGGATCCTCTTGCTTATATTCTATGAATGAGTTTTTATTTTATTTTACTTTGCGTTCTTAAATCACTTGGATGAGTACAAATTGGGTTAAAAGATTTACAGGGAATTTCTACATGGGTTCAATGAAGCTTTTGATTGATTAACAAATATGCATTACCATAAAGAAGAAACCAATCTTTGTAGCCAAATATAGAATCCAATATTAAATGAATAGAAAATGAACATATATTTTGACCACCATATGTTTCAAATACGTTATACTATTCACTACAGTAGATGAGCTGCACAAAGCTGACATGTGAAGGATCATGTCTTTCTTTTCCCTTTCAAGCAACCTTGTACTCAAGCTTGGCCTTAGGGTGTCTATCTTGAGCATCTCAGTCACTGTATTGTTGATACTGTCAGTCCTCACCATCCAATGATCAAATATTACTTATTGTAACTAAAATTCCATGGCAAAATGGTTTAGTTGCTAAGAACACTAATCTCAAAACCCTACCTTATATAGTAAAACCGTAGTACCTGTCACCTGGCATATGAAAAGAAATAGTTTGTGGTGGTTGTCCATATACTGCTTTATGGGGTAGTGGATGTAAAGAATTGTACCATACCATAATTCAATCTGAGGTGACCAATGCAACCATCCTTTTGTTTTTCTTTTTGATAATTAAAATAACTTATATATTATAAGAAACTATTTAGTACATCAGACTGTTCCAAAAAAACAGGAGGACAACCCTCCCAAAAGAATTCATCATCCACATATTTCGCCTCCCTAACGGCCTAACCAACACATGGGCAGGCATAACCGCTGCTCTATTTCCATAATTAACAGAAGAAAATTTAAAAGATCTGAGTAACAAAAGGATTCTGTCCACCAAATATAAACAACCACAAGGAAGATTTAAAGGCCCAACATTCAACGTTTCCACTGAAACCAGACTATCTGATAAAATAACTACCGAAGTAATTTGATGATTCCTTGCAAACAACAATGCCCTCCAGACTGCCACCAACTCCAACTCCACAGGACCCTCTTGTACCAAACATTACCCAGCTGAACAAGCATAAAATTTACCATAGAATCATAACAAACAAAGCCATAGACCCATTTAAACTGATCCAAAATCCCCCCATCACAGATAATAACAAACGAAGGATGCTTAAGATATTTGATAGAACTGTAGTAATTCTGAAATGTAAGCATCGCTTCTGAACCTGCAGCAGAAGACAACTGAAAATCCAAAAACACAAACTTAATAATAGCAATTAGCTGATCCAAACAAAATTGATAGTCTTGAAAGATTACATGATTTCTGTCCATCCATATATAATAAAAAACAATAGTTATCCAAGCCAAACAATTCATTTTAACATCCAAAGAGTCAAAACAATTAAGTATTTCCAAATTACAGTAAAAGGCTCCTCCCCAGAAATAACCTCTGTCCTAATACCCCAAGGAGAGGAAAACCAAACAGCTCTAGCAATTGAACACTTGAAAAAAAGATGAAGCAAAGACTCTGTATCACTACCACAAAGGCCACACAAGGAGGAAACAATAAAAGCTCTAGATGATAAAAGAGAGGCTACTGGAACAAAATTCCTCTCCAACCTCCAGAGAAACAACTTAAACCTAGGAATCACCTTTAACCTCTAAACTTTCTTAATTAAACGCTCCATCAAAATATTCACCCTATAAGCACGATTCCTCCAAATAGATAAATAGGCAGTTTTAACAGTAAGGTTCCCATTCTTGGATTCAGTCCAAATGAAATGATTATCCTGCATGGATCTAAAAATATGAGTCTCATTAACAAGAGGAACGCAAGTATCACAAAAAATTTGAGAAATCTTCTCAACATTCCAACTTCCAGATTGATCAAAGAAATCATTAAAACAACAACATTTGTATCTCCGATTCACAGGTCCCATAGGAGCCATGTATTTAATACCAACTCTAATCCATGGAACATTCCACACATTAACCTAATCATTCACACAAACTTTACAAATCACTTGATCTTTCAAGGAAGAAAGACACTTAAACAAAGAAATCCAAACTTTAGAACTACTTGCTTTCTATCTATTAGGAAACAAACAATGTGAATTTAAATATTTACTCCTCAGCACTTTAATCCATAACCGATCATCCCGATTTAGGAAAACCCAAGCCAATTTAAGCTGAAAAGCCCTATTCACCTCAGATGCTTTCCTAATATCGAAACCTCCATAAGTCAGAGGAGAGCAAAGTATATCCCAATTTTCCCAAGCAAAACCTTTATTTGGTTTCCCAAAATTCCACCAGAATTTTCTTTGAATTTTGTCAATCTTCTCATTAACAGAATTAGGAAGTTGAACCATAGACATAACATGATTAGGAATTGACTGCAAGCTAGACTTTAATAAGACTAATTTACCCACCTGAGACAAATTGACAGCTTTCCAACCATTCAGTTTAGCTTGAAATTTATCTAAAATAAAATAGAAAGAATCCCTTGTACTTCTTTTCCAAACTAAAGGAACACCCAGATATTTAGACTGGTAATCCAAATTTTCCATCCTTAACTGCCTATAGATCATCTTCCTACATTGATGATGCACATTCTTACCAAAATAAACCCCAGACTTTTGATAATTAATAGTTTGTCCAGACATCTCCTGAAATCGGTCAATCACCTCCAGAAGATTAACTACTTCCCTAGAAGCCCTAATAAAGAGAAAAACATCATCATCAAACAACAAATGTAAATAGAAGGAGCATTACGAGCAACCTTAATACCATGAATTCTTCCAGACTCCTTACCTTTACACAATAGCCTAGACAAAACTTCCATACCTAAAATGAACAAATAGGGACACAGAGGATCACCCTGTCTCAACCCTTTGCTAGGATAGATATAACCCTCAGGAGAACCATTAATCAAAACAGAATAAGAAACAGTAGAAATATTAAAATAAGTCATTCGAGAAAAAATCTCAAATAATTCTCATTAAACCTGGGAACTTCCCTTATACCTGATTGTTGTTTTAAGGTGTTATGATGCTAATATTTAACTGTTTACCTTGAAAATAGATGAATCCCCTTACCCACTCAAATGATTGGATTATCAAAGTGGCAACTTAGTCATTGTTTTGGAATGCAATAGAGCTTTCATAGGTGTTCTACCAAAAAACAGGCTACAATTGTATCTGCATATGGATGATTCATTGCTATTAAATGAGTTCTTGAAGAGGTAGTCAACTACAATTAACATATGTTTTTCTTATTATATACTAGATTGTTAGAGGACTTTCCTTGAAGTCTAGATATCTTCTTGTTACTAAATAAACAAGTAAACTGAAAGAGAAAAAAGAGAATATACAAGGAAATAGTGTTTGAGAGAACAACTTGTAGAGAACACTGATGTAGGCCCCACAGCTATGGTCCCACTGTGTTCGTAGGGTAGAATGTGTTCTAGTCATCCTAGGGTTAGCTGGTGGTCAATCTGTTATTTCAGTTTTATTGTGTTCTATTTGTTATGTAAATACTAAGGGCAGATCTTACTGAGCAGTTCATATGTTTGGTAATACTACTGATATTGTGCATACTGATGTTTGGGGGCCATATCACATCCCTTCTATGGGTGGGTACAGATATATTTTGTTATTTGTTGATGACCATACCCGGTTTTCTTGGGTTTATCTTATGCGTTCACGAGATGAGGTTCCCGCCCTAACCAAAAACTTTCACCAAATGGTCCTATCCCAGCTTGATGCCAAGATCAAAGTTCTTAGATCTGATAATGCAAAGGAATACTTTGCTAAGCCATTGGCATCTTACCTTCTTAATCATGGGATTATCCACCAGAGCACTTGCCCTTATACACCTCAGCAGAATGGRGTTGCAGAAAGGAAGAATAGGCACATCTTGGAGGTGGCTAGAAGTATTATGTTTACCTCCAATGTCCCTATTCRCTTCTGGGGTGATGCTATCCTCACGGCGGTATATCTTATTAATCGGGTTCATTCCCGGGTTCTTGATATGAAATCTCCTTTTTCCCTTCTATACCCAAATGAGGAGTTGTTTACTGTTCCCCTTAAAACATTTGGTTGTACCTGTTTTGTTCAGCTTCTCGGACCCCATCACTCCAAGTTCGAACCAAAGGCCTCCAAATGCATTTTTCTTGGTTATGCACAAACTCAAAAGGGTTATTGCTGCTATGATCCTGTCTCTATGGATGTCACTTTCTTTGAGGAGACACCCTATTATTCTCGGGTTTCTCCTTAGGGGGAGAGCAGTGCGAGTGGGGATTTGGGTCATTTTCTTCAAGGGGAGCGCAGTGAGGGTAGGGGTAATACTTTTGGGGCTGTTCCCTTACCTATTCCATTGGGTGATGAGGGCTACAATAGTGAGGGTGGTTAGAGGGATCAGGAGTTGAGGGTCTATCACAGGTGATGCAGGCAGGTTGATCCCGGTCATCAGCAGTCTAGGCCAGCTCCAATCTCTTCTGCGGCTCCAAGTCCAGGTATTACAGTCCCAGGGCCCACAGAGACTTCTTCCACTATTGCACTTCACCTCCTGTAGATGACCTTGACCTTCCCATTGCCGTCCGTAAGGAAAAACGGCATTGTACCACATCTACAACCCACTGTATTTCCCAGTTTTTATCCTATGATCGCCTATCTCCCACCTACAAGTCCTATCTTATTTCCGTTGCCAATGTCCCTATTCCAAGAACAGTGCAAGAAGCCCTATCCGTCCCGGAGTGGAAAGATGCAATGCAAGTTGAAATGGATGCCCTGTTGAAAAATAACACCTGGGAGTTGGTTGATCTGCCCAAAGGAAAGAAACCAGTTGGATGTAGATGGGTATTTACTGTGAAGCACAATGCAGGTGGCTTCATTGAGAGGTATAAAGCTCGGCTAGTTGCAAAAGGGTTCACCCAGACTTATGGTATAGATTACTTGGAGACCTTTGC